GGACTGTATGGCTCCCTTTCGTTCGACGGTAGTATTGCGCATGGTATGGTGCTTCCAATCATTAGAGCTATGGGAGATTTTCAGTTCAGTTATGGTTCGGTACACTGTTGCCTAAATATCCAGAAGAACCTGCAATCTCGCCTAAACTGAGCTTTGTGCCTAAGGAAGGCTGGAGCCAAGTAAATGAGCTCTAGGGATATACCGATTGCGTTGTCTCCTATTTTTGTCAAAGAACCCTTTAAGGTATACTAAACAAGTGCTCCCTGGGCGCCTATTTACTTCTATCCTAGCAAAGACAGGATGTCGTGGAGAAGTGTGGCGAGAGATGATGGTGGATCCTTCTAGTAAGCAGCGGGCTATTGTGCAGATGCATACAATAGGACAAAAAGAACGGTCATCTGGGCTGCGCTTTTTGAAGGATCATATCGAAATCTGATGATTCATGCCGTCCATAAACAGCATAACGAAATTCGGTAGGGGAACTGAAAGCAAACGTTGGCAGTACACAGAAAGAAGTTTACAGATGAGACTTATCTTTTACCACTGGAGGTTACAAAAAGCCAGCGATTTGGTTACATTTTCTTAGTTATGTTTACTTTTACAAATTTTCAGGAAGAAATCATGTACCACGTATGTCTGGTTTTTTGGTTTTCTGGACAAAGTTCTGCGTTATTTCTGTGCAGAAGCTTTTAGAAGATTTACGTAGGTGCGATTTACATCAACCCTGGTAACTGGTCTAGCCGTCCTTTGTGTACAGTAGGTTGGATGGGCAACTTACAAAGAACCCATCAGACTGTATAGATGGTTCCATGGCTGGGAAACGACGAAAATCGCTAAGAATCTTTGGGGAAAATGGGGAGCATTTTCGGGCAGTCTTCTTTCATTTTTAATTATTTACTGGCAATTAATTTTTAACGAAGCAAATTCAATTGAATGGTTTGCAACTTCCAAATTTCTAGTGAATGTAACGATACGTCTGCGCAGAGCCTTTGGACTTTTCAGAGATACAAGGTTTCGGAACCAACAACACTCCATAACATTTAATAATCGCCTTAGATTTCCTACCTCTCACATCTGGAATATTGTGTGCCTAAATTTCTCTCCCAGCTCTCGATCTTTTGTAATATCAATCACCCACTCAGAAAAGTCGGTTGTTCAATTAAACTTACCCACCAGGTTTATGCCTTGTTCAAAACACTACCGACACCCAGCCCTTCCCCATCTGTCTACTTGGGGTGCTGCATCTTTTATCCAGATTCAGACCTCATGTCGCTTTGTTACAACTTCTGCAGCACATTGTTACGTGTTCCAGTAAGTTCTATAAGTATCTTAAAAGCGTGCCTCAACTCAACCAATTTTCGTCCATAATTTTCAACGAAAACAAGCTTTTTTCAGGACAACTACCGCTCGGATCACTAGAGATGAATACATCTGTTTACAGACACTTCTCTCTTTGTTCTCAGGCCGCTCTGAATTACTAACTGACACGACTTTGAGCCTTGGGCTTGATTAAAGACAAACTTGTAATCGCAGATAAAATCTGCAGTAGGTGATCTCCATAGTGATAGTAATATAGACAGCCAGTGAGAATTGATAAACCTACCTTGAAGTGCATTTCAGACGGTGTATACATTCGGGAACACGTAAAAGCTTGAGTTGTTTGGCCTTTCTCAAACAATTAGCAGTCCTTGANGCCTCTAATGCCTGTGGGGTCGAAGTGCTCCCTGGGCCTCCGCTCACAGACATCGAGTACGCAGACGACATAGCTCTTCTGGGATCTGACCCCGTGGCATTGCAAACAATACTAAATAATCTAAATAATTCTGCCTCGCGGTTCGGCATGCGCTTCACACCTGTAAAATTTAAGGTGCAACTAAAAGACTGGGTGGGCCCGAACACTAGCCTCATGCTTACGGATGAACTGATTGAGGTAGTAGACAAATTTGTTTACCTGGGCAGCTGTATCAGTCCCGGTGATCTCACGAAAGATGAAATTTCCATCCGGATTGGGAAGGTCAGAACAGCTTTTGCGAACCTACGTCACCTGTGGCGTAGGCGTGATATCAGCTTCTCTTTTAAGGGTTGAGTTTACAATGCTGCGGTGCGCTCCATATTACTATATGGAACAGAAACCTGACCGCTGCGCGCTGAGGACGTCAAAATACTTTCAGTGTTTGACCATCAATTTATTTGGAGCATCGCCCGAATCTATTGGGAACACCGGATCAGCATTGCTGAAGTACTTCGGATGGTATTCGGGAGAAACAACTCACCCTCAATAGATGAACTGATCAGACTGCATAGGTTGCTCTGGCTTGGCCGCTTGTTGCATATGCCATTCGACCGACTTCCTCAAAGGGATCTTTTTGCACAACCACGTGAAGGGTGGAAGAGGGTCAGAGGCGGTCAAACAATGATATGGCAAATGAAGTGTGAAAGCCATTACCATCAAACTAAGCTGCCCTAGTGATCGCCGCCTTCTTCGATTGGCAGCCCGAGACGGGTCATATCAATGGTTAGACACATCGTCGGACATGGCCCAGTCGCGCTATCAACGACGCTCATGTATTCAAGCTATTGTCTTCTGTGCATAGCTTCCTTCTCACTCCCCTGCTTAGCAGTCCACCTACATTAGTGTATTTCCGCACTAATTTGTAAGCTCCCGCCTCCAACGCGCAGCTACCTACTCCACTTCCCTGAATCATTGTTAAACGAAACTGCGGCAGCTACAACCACTGTACGACAAGTACCCGGTTAGTACAGCTGACAATGACGATGAGCCCTTAAATTTTGCCCATTGTGTTTATTACACGTATTTTTAAACGTAATTATTCAAGCTCGCTTCACCAGGTTTTATTGCAATTCATCTGGTAGTTACGTGATCCTCGTAGAGGAACAACATAAGAAGTTACTGTGTCGCAACTGTAGCTTATCGAGTTCGAAGCGGTGCCACTACTTTTGAGCCGCCTCTTTCGAGACAGAAATACTTTACTATCTAAATATAAAAATCACCTCCCGACACACACGCCTTTTTCCAAGAGTGTATAGGTTCAAGCAGAACCATTGTAAAATGTAGAAAAATTGTGAAATTGTGGTGTTTTATTAGTGCATTGCCCAGGTGAATCCTCTCGGTGTGTGCTTTCTGCTTTAGACTCAGTGAAAACGCTAGTATACTACTTATAAGAAGCAACCGTGTGAGAGTTAGACTAAGTATTTGCCCAGCGTCAAATGCCTGGCATTTAGAGCTGGGCCTCAGTGTTCATGTACAACTAAATTATATAACTCGGCCTGTAATGTGTTCACGAGATTTTTTGTCTCCACGAATCAATCACCGGTAATTTGACAGATTTAGAAACTAGTATGAGCTACCTATTTATCTTTTGGCCACCACGGAACAACACGAAGAGTTTGTTTTCAACGCGTTGGGTGAGATTCTGAAGACTAGAAGTTACGAAAAGTTACGCTCATGACTAGCACCTCAGTTGCTGGATTCAGGCGTCTTATAGTTCTACGAACAAAGGAACAATGCAGAAAGTTTTCCGGTCCCTGATTTATAAAAGGGTTTTTCGGCGCGCTACACTATCTGCAAATCTTCAGTTGCTTCTAGGTGTGGGTATTCTACACTAAGTAATGACTTTGCCTTACAGCTGGTGTTTTAGTCAGCATTTAGTAAGTTAAGTTTACCAAAAATAAAGACTCAGGGACTATAAGTAAAATTCCTGTGCTGTGAAATTCGTGAAATACAGCAGTGTTCGGAGCGGCCGTTCTAATATATAATATATGATATATAATATATATAGATAATATACATATTAAAACAAAAAACGGGCACTCAGGTTTACAGGGAAAATATGGCAACATCACTCCCGTTAGAAAAGTGGCGGTCGGACGGTAGCACAGTGCATGTCATCCGATAGCCATATTTGAGGATGGCTGGTGGTATCATGGTTGGTTTAGGAAATCCGCGTTTCGAATTTCCTTCACTAACTTAACCAGCTCCAGAATTAACTTATCTCAGAATCAGCTCTCTTACTATTTTTATGTTCACAAAATAATGGGTTTCGTGAACATTCTGTAATAGAACACCCGAAATTCCCTGAGAATCATCGCTTTTCTAAAAACCCGGTCTCTTTCAGGATCATGACAGCAATTGGTCGTTTCTTCAAGTCCTTCGGTGAGAGATCGGACGCAAGCACCAAGCAGGTGAAAAAACAAACGTATGGGACTTCCATGATGCTTTCTAGTACAACCACTCTACCGTAAACTAAGTATGAGCGAGCGTTTGTCAGTCAGTCAAACATCTTGTTGATATCATTATCACACCGCTTGGCACGCATTGATTAAGCGACCCGTAGTATATAAAATGACGTCAACATTTGATCATTGCTTGAAATGTACGTCATCTGCGCCGCATAAAGTGGGTGGTTATTCATTCAAAGGTACGAAAATCCCTCAAAAGAACGATAGTCAAAGTGACTACTGTACCCGCAACTTCAACAGAATCCCACCCTTGAAGCCAGTCACCGTTGGCTGAACCCCTAAGAACTCAGGAATTGTAGTCTATTTCCTACCCCTGTTTTCGCTTTTGGCATTCTAATATATCAACATTTGCGCCAAATTACTAGAGAGCATATTGTCCCAGTAAGACCTAGATTTTAATCATGGTGCTCCCAACATCGACTTCTACATCTTCTTCTGTACCAGAAAGTTGATGTTTCAGCTTACGGGCGCGGTTTCACCGATATTCTCCGACGATTGAATCTAGGATATCAGACTGGCGGGAGGCGGAACATTTGCACGTTTGTTGGCCAAAATACATTAGTAACCACTTTCTAGCCAGTATATCAGCTGACAAACATCAGAAACAACCAACTGATGATGTAAACCACCATGTGACCTCACTTATCGCAATTGCATCTGCGGAAGCCCTGACATAGATATATTTATGAATGATTTTGAAAGTTTGTCTACGGTCGTGCATCTCGCCAAAATAGACGTACTTGGTTTTGGAATCGGTTTCGATTCGCATTGCTCTCGACCTCTCACGTATTTCAGATGACGCTCTCCTGGAATCAGTTGCAGCCCTGCTTTGTGCATGCAGTTGCGTAAACCATGACGGATAATCCGTTTTCTCTTCAGGCTTGGTTAAAGTTGCCATTTCAGTTTAGTCAGCAGTTAATAAACTCAAGTCGCTACTTTCAAAGTCGTTCTGAATTATCAGCAGAGGTTAACCGTTTTTAAATTATTGCCACCACCACCATAGCAACTAAAAACCAATAGCTTCAATGGGTTTGTACTTGTGTCGAATGCGAAACTACGCCTAGCCAAAATCTACTGAATACTACGCCTAGCCAAAATCTACTGGCTTTTCACAAAACCCTTCTGAAACAATGACTTCTCGATCAGTCCCAAAATCTTTCCAGTTGGCTGAAAACTCATAGGCTCGGGTTGGTTGTTTGATGCTTCTTTTTATTGGTTGGATATGCGCGCCTAAGATGATATGGCATGGAACGGGGTTGCATCACACATTGTGCTCAGTCTTACCCTGTTGCCGGTACCAAAGCTTGTAGGGCCATTTTCTTAGGTGTGTGTGCGTGTATATAACTAAAACGCCCATACTGGAATCATTAGTTGTCACATCTGATTTCAGATTTATGCGTTAGCTAAAATGGATTGAACGGTTATTTTGGACTTAATTGCCGTGAGTTCGGGGGAGGATGAAACCCGTGTGATGATTGGATAAGTCTAAAGACTAGCGTAGAAGCAAATGTTATCCATCAAATGGCTGCACTTTTGTGTACACGAACAGCGCTTAACCTGGTATGAATGTCAATGATTCCTTATGGCAACATCATCCATTTCTGAAATGGTGGATTTACCATGGAGAGCGGATTTAATCAAAGAGAACGAATGACCAGGGTGGGACTCTGTCACTGCCTGGATGGCGATCACGGGACCATGTAACCAGTAGGTGATATGTGACGGTTTCCCAGAATGAGCCACTGCAGGCGCGGATATGGGATGCCTTTTGTAGAGTCCGAGTAGACAGTGGCTGGACAGTGGCCCTGTGGATGGCGCGGGACCATGTAACCAGCAGGTTGTATTTGACGGTTTCCCAGAATAACCCAACGCAGGCGTGGATATGGAATGCCTTTTGTAGAGTCTGAGTAGACAGTGGCTAGTCTGTTGCGTGTGGCGTCTGGCACCCGTTAAGAAATCGGATCTCCAGGGCATAGTTCCGAGTAGTTGAAGGAAAAGGACCGGTCAAGTTAAGAGGGAGCACATATGCATGTGGTCCAAAACAATCTTTTCAAGACCGAACGGGTTACGTGAGACCGAGGGGGGACTGTCTGCTGGACACTTCGATGTGGAAATGATTAAGCGTAAATGAGACAAGCCGCTGAAACTTGGCCATCAGGACGGGTTCGCAGTGAGTGTGAGATCATTAGTGCACAGGTTATGATAATAGATAGTTATGGTATAACTCGGAAGGCGTATGCACTATGGTTTACAGTTACTACTTGCACCACGACGAAATAAATACAGTACAAACAAGTAATTATGTCAAAAGGAGAATTATCAATTGTGGATAACTGGTGAAAATCCGGACGGCGGGAGCGTGCCTTCTCCGCGGTATAGCTGTTTCACTTTTTCCGCAATGTTCCGTGAGCTTGGAAAGTTTGGCTTACTCCCTACCCCCTGCGCGCACGAATGTGTGGTGTTCTGTGTTGTGTCTTCCTATATATAGGAAGGTTTGCTGCGTGCATAATACATAGAATTGCTTCTATGCGCACAAGACGTGAACCGACTTGTCATTCAAGGTTGCAGGCGGAACAGGGTTTGTAACGTGATTTTTATGCTTCGTAGCAGGCGAGTCGCGTTGTTTCGAGAACAGGGATACACTAGACAAATTAAACGAAGTTTGTTGAGGGAACAAGGAAACAGCCGCTGCAAGATCAGGCGTAAAGTGAACAAAAACGGTAGGGCTCCGCAGAGGAAATGGGCACGTTGAAGGCCACGTGACTGGACAGCGGCCCGAGGAGGAGTGCGCTAGATTTTATCCTGCTGGAAACGAACAGGCCAAACCAGTAAGACGAAAGCACCTTGAGGACTAGAATGGTTAAGATCAACCCGATGGGCACCTGTCGTATGTTTTAGGGGTCTGTCCGGTGTAACCTCAGTGAACGGTGTTCTATCAGCTGGGAGCGGTTTGAGTGTCGTGCAAGGGGTTTTGTGGTTTTAGGGTTAGCTGAGTGGGGTATAGGGCTCAAGCAATAGCAAGTTTTGCGTTATTCGTCAGCAGTCTTTTTGGTGTCGTTGTGTGAGCGTCCCCTGGGTTCGCACTGCCCGCGAGACACTTTTGGCGATGCACACGCGCAAAGATATAGTGCAGCATTGATGAGTTCTTCAAAACAATAACCAATATCCTTAGGCGGTTGAGTGAAGGACCAGGTGCACAAAGCAAAAATGGAGATGGGGTGGAAAAATTAGAACTGAAGACAAATGACAAGTTTCGTCCCCCAAATATAGTTCGCGCTGAAATTAGGTTGACTCACTGGTGTACGTTGTGAGAGAAAAGCGTCGATGCACAGAGCCGAACGAACACCGTGAATGAAATCTTTGAGTTTGTTGAAGGGGCAAACTGAGATCGCAGCGAAAATTTAGTTTGGTTAAATCCGAACTCGTCCCGAAAATGGTTAGCGTCGGGTGAAAAATTTGCTTATAGGTGTATTTGCAGCCCGATTAGGTGGGAGGTGGCGTTCGTGACAAACGTCAATGTCGCCGTAATCGGACAGAAGATAGGCATTTCTGCGACAGCTGGTTCTGAGTGAGACGGGAGTTAACAGCGGTAAAGCCAGGCTGATGTGGTTTCACGGATCATCTTGACTCGGCTGGAGAACCATGTGAATGTTAACCATGAACCGGCCAGTTTGAATTAATGACGGCCATATGTAGCGTTTGTAACGGCTACTGCCGAAGTTCGAAATTTTGAAAGAGGGGAATGGGGAAGAAATAAGATGAGAGAAGCGGCGTCTGGTAAGTATCGAGAGGCAACAGATAAAATGATGTACAGTAGAAAGGAGTAGTAAAAAGTAGTGACAGAAGGCCAAATGATCCTAAGAAGGGGTGGTTTTTTGTTGGCTGACATAGCGACCAAGTACTGGCTGGATTTGCCGATGTAGCATGAGGGCGAAACAAATCATTAGTGATCCTCAACTTGGCATGTACGCAGCACATTTAAACGGCGTTGCAAGGGACGTTGATGGTGGTAAGTGTTGTGCCTCGTTTTTTACTGGGCGTCAGTCGATTAGAGTGCGCAAGGCCAGGACGGGTTTATTTGCCTAATTTTTGGAAGGTAAAGATTAAGCCCCCGGAGTAGTGAGGAGGAAGGCTAGCCGTTGGATTAGTCAGTGCGGGCGGTGTCAGTCTGAGTTAAGCAGGGAGCTGCATTATTTTTAGCGCAGATAAGCCATCCTATCAGACGGTATTCTCTGTGCAAATTGTGTGTGTGAGTTAATATGAAGACGGATCATGATAACGATGATAATCGGCTGAGCAAGATCTTCCTTGCTGAGGAGTCAACTTTCACTGGCCACTTCACGAACTGAAGAAAACGATAAGAGCATGGTTCACCGGGTACTGTATCATTGCAGCCAGCTCCAAGCAACGAAATGTGCATGTTAAATACAATACTAATCGAATCACCGTCTTCCTAAGACTAGGAGCCATAGGGATTGAAAAACCAATGGGCGCTTGCTTCGGTGGCTATGGAGTGAATTCAAAATGCCGCTCTATGTAGGAATCCCACATTTCCCCTGGAATCCATAATGCAGTTCTCTAAGGCAGAAGATAAGTAAAGTGTACGTTTCCCTCTCAACAGTAGTTTGAGGATTGAGGAGGCAGAGAACGGGATTTGGGTTGCCTTTATTTGCGTGTCTTTGATGAACTGTCAGCAGACACAATAAAACTTAACCAAACACAAGCCTTGGTGCTCTACTCCGATAAAGAACGAGGACCGCTTTCCCCTGATATGTTAGCGGGGTGGCCCAGAAATACTGCATGTTTAGCGTTCTGAAACATGTACAGGAATTCTTACCTAGGCAGTGTCTTGCCGAATTTTTCGTTCTCCGCAATCTGCGCCATCGTAAGTGCATGATGATAAAAACAGCTAAACGTATTGGTGAATTGTAACTGCTGGTATGACCAGAACCTCTCTGGGACAGCCCAGTGGGGCGCACGTGGGCATCGATTTTTTGAACTTCCTCTCAGAACTCTATATTTACTTCGATTGTTACCTAACACATTCTGCAAGTGTTACACTTCTGTTGATATGCGGTCCGGTCTCACAAGTCTTATAAGGCGTGTACCCAACAGTTACTTGGCAGCGAACACTACCAGGTGGCTGGGCCCATTGGTCGCACATTGCACTCGGCTGAAAAAGTTCGAAAAATGGAATGAAAATTTTTCCGCCAAAATGTTGCATTTTATTGCTCATGCTCTCAAGCCAAAAATGATCCCAATATACGTTCACTTTTTGCAGCCCACCCAATTTCATCTTTTACTCATGCAATCACACCCTTGGCGTAAAAAGTCAAATGCAATATTTTCCTAGAACCTCCGAGACCCCGAAATGCCTAAGTGGGTCCCACAGTTTGGACTCGTGCTATGAACTCAACTGTCTGTCTATTTTTTCCATCAGGAACTTGTCGTAGCTTTCGAGATTTCAATTCCATCGTGCGAATACTGAGGAACCAATTTATTGATAGAATCAATTCCGGTTTAAACTTCGCATCACCCTTGCTATACTTTCCATCAATAAAGCCTCTGAATATGTAAAATTTCACGGACACGTATTTTGCCATAAGTGGATCTCATTAACAGTTTTATACTTTTTGGATACATGGAAAACGTTTGAACCACTTGAATTTACTCCTGTGACCTTGAGGTGCACGCTACATCCTTGAGTCGTGATTCGGACTTTTGATTTCCGTACGAACATTCGCGGTCCGTTTTTCCTAGCCCACAAGCTTCTGATCACAAAGATTTTCCTAGTTCCTACATTGAGAGTCAGCCTTGGAAAACTGTCGTGAATCCCAGTGACTTAGGTGAGCCATCTCCACAGTCATTCCATTGCCTGGTCACTACAGTGACCAGGTGTATAGGTGTATAAATCTAGTTGGTGGTTGCGCCCAGACGAATACTTGACTTTGATGGCTCTTTTGAGCGCTTCAGGACAGCTGTTCTCAT